ATTCGTATACAAGAGATATTTTCGAATATGTTGCGGCGCACCTGTGAAGAGGTAGCGGCTCCCTGGGGCGCTGCAGCGCACAGTTTGGGAATCACTGGTGTAAGGAAATCATAACATTGCACTGGGCATCGTTACGGATTTAATTAACTGAACCTCGTCTCCTAGGTAAAATAAACCTCAAAATTTCTTCAGAAGTAAAAACGGTTGGTATGATTTTGATCACAACACCCATCGAGTGCTAGTTAGTGAATAAAAAAAAACATATATATATAAGTTTAGCATGATATTTCCGGTGAAGCATCCGCGTAATAGTGTTCTTTACTCACTGTACATTACTGTATAATAGGTAACACCTGGTTTAAACACCATCCTCGAAGATTGTGGACTTGGAAAAGTCCTGGTGATAATGTCCGCAATCAGATTGATTATATTTTGATTTCAAGAAGATTTCAGAGCAGCTTAGTTGGAGCTAAAACTAGACCAGGGGCAGACTGCTTTAGTGACCATGTTCCAGTCGTAGGAAAAATTAGAATAAAACTAAAGAACATTAGAAAAACACCACAGAACATCAAGTTAAATTTAGGAATTCTTAGAACGGATAAAGAAATTAAGGAACAGTACAACGTCACTGTACAAAACCGGTATAATGCAATGGAAATTATACAAACAATTGATGAACAGTGGGAAATGTTGCGTGAGTCAATTCAGCAGACATCAAAAGAGACAATCCCACCAACCCATACAGTTGCAAAAAAGAAATGGATGTCAACCGAAATTCTGCAGTTGATGGATGAAAGAAGGAAGAAAAAGAATGATAAAGAAGAATACTCTAGAATACAAAAAGAAATAGTGAACAAATGCAAAGTGGCTAAAGAAGCCTGGCTGAATCAAATGTGTACAGAGATTGGGGAAAATCACGGGAAAGACTCACATTCCATGTACCAACAGAAAAATATGTTAACAGGAAAGATGACACGTAACAGCACTGGATGTTTGATATCAAAGGATGGTGACTTATTAATGGGACATAGTAATATAATTAACAGATGGACAGAGTATATAGGGGAATTGTATGATGATAATAGACCAGACGTAGAACTGCAGAACAACAATGATGGTCCACCAATAATGACTGCAGAAGTTGAAGATGCAATACATCATATGAAGAAAGGAAAAGCACCCGGGCCAGACAACATCTCACTGGAAGAAATCGAAGCACTGGGAAATTTTGGAATTGAAATCATAACTAAACTTTTAAATGATATTTATAACAGTGGGTATATTCCAAATGACCTTTTAAAATCCATATTTATAGCTCTGCCGAAGAAACCAGGCACTTTAAAATGTGAAGACCATCGCACAATAAGTCTTATGAGTCACATGACTAAGATTTTACTGAGAATAATTATGAGAAGAATAAGAAACAAAATTAAACCAGAAATCAGCGATGAACAATGTGGATTTGTAGAAGGAAAAGGTACAAACAATGCCATATACATCCTAAGGACATTGTCAGAAAGAGCTATAGAAGTAAAGACTGATTTGTACTTATGCTTCATAGACTATACAAAAGCATTTGACTGTGTGAAGCATGAAGAAGTAATCAAACTGTTAGAAAAATTAAACATTGATGGGAAAGATCTAAGAATAATAAAGAATATGTATTGGCAGCAAACAGCAGCTATAAGAATTAACAAATGTTTAGGTACATTTCAAAGCATAAAGAGGGGCGTACGACAAGGATGTGTACTGTCACCTGATTTGTTTACAATATACAGTGAATATATTATGAGATCTTTAATTGATATGCCCGGAATCGTGGTTGGTGGGCACAATATAAACAATTTACGTTATGCTGATGACACAGTCTTGATAGCAACAAATCCGAAAGAATTACAAGAAATGATAGACATTGTGGTGTTAGAAAGTGGAAGAATAGGCCTCAGTTTGAATAATGGGAAGACAGAAGTAATGATGGTATCAAAGAAACAAATTATTCCTAAATGTGTAATAAAAGTCAATGGTGTTATTTTAAGACAAGTACAGAAATTTAAGTATCTGGGCACATGGATAACATCAGATGGAAGATGCATAACTGAAATAAGAAACAGAATTGGACAGGCAAAAACTGCATTTTATAAAATTAAAAACATCTTGTGCAATATATCCTTGTCATTGAGAGTTAGAAAAAGAATTCTTGCTTGCTACATACATCCAGTTTTAACATATGGATGTGAATCCTGGACAATCGGTAGGCAGGCCAAACAATTTTTAGAGGCCTCAGAGATGTGGTTTTACAGAAGAATGCTTAGAATACCTTGGACAGCCAAAAAGAGCAACCAAGAGGTTTTGAAAGAGGCGGGAGACCGAAGACAACTTATCACTGACATCAGAAGGAGACAGTCGTCATTTTTCGGCCATGTTATGAGAAGAGGGAAGATAGAACATGTTGTGACCACTGGAAAGATCTGTGGAAGGAGGGATAGAGGAAGACAGCGAGAGAAGATGCTTGACAGTCTTGTTGCATGGCATGGAGGTGTGTCGGCACACGAACTGATACATGCTGCAGGAGATCGCGGATTATGGAGAGGCATGATCGCCCACGCCAGTCGGCAAGGCACCTGATGATGATGACTCACTGTACAGGTGAAGAATGTTTAAGTGATGTCTGAATAGTTTGAGTTATGGCCGTGACAAAGGCCCTAAAGTGGCTGAAAATCAGGAATTCTCTAATCAGGGACTCTATGAGCATGCTTCAGAAGAGCAACGCGTGGTAACATACGGAAACAGTGGCTCCATCTGATACAACATGCAGTCTTTTGCAAAATCAACTTCATTTTTGTCCCAGGGATGCTGGTGTAACGGCAATGAGAGAGCAGCTGCTCTGGCTGGCAGTGCGACAATCAAGAATGGGCTATCCTCAGACAGGAGAGACTTTATTATTGCCATTTGTGAGACTAAACGCTGTGAGGATTTCAGTTGTATGGAACATTATTTTTAACTCATTAGACTACATACCCTGGGTGTACCGATTGAGCTGCGAGACGGAAAAACCCAGGGAAAGACACATGTCGTTACATAAACCAGAACAGAATGGGAATCGTTAGCCTAAAAACACTAGAAGACATACTCAGGAGGAGTTCGGAGCACTTATGGTCATGTCCGATGTGCGATGAAGATGATCTTTAAAGTGAACAATGAACAGTGATCAATTTGGGTAGATGTTTGTGTCTTTATTTGTCTGAATCCCCCGTGTGGGTTCCCGGGCCCCACTGTAGGGGAAAACAAGAATAGACCCACTGCCTCCCCAAAAGCATGTCGTAAGAGTCGAATAATTGGGGAGCTTCCTTTGAAGTCGGAGCGCATCTGCCGGAGAGGCAAGGAACCAACAGTCTGTATTCAAGAGAATGAGATCTGTAAAACTGATGCACACGCAACACTCAGGTTCTGGAGCAGGGCTGCAGTTCAGTAGTGGACGAGCAACCAGAACTTTTCGCCAGAGTGTACAGCTGGTGAACGCGAAGAAGAAGAAGAAGAAGAAGATTTGTCTGAATTGTGAAGTTTAAATTCTATTTCCCGGTTACTGTCCCTCCATGTCTCTTTGTCTGTCCTTCGAAGCAGTCCTTTTCTTTTCCAATTTCCATCGATACAAATTTGTTTTATCTCATTTGGTACCAAGCAACTCCCACGACATTTATTAGTAATCCTTCCATGCTTACTGTCAGCTTCTATGGCTTAGGCGTTGCGAACGCACTGCGTAATTCCAAAGTACCCGGTTCTCCAGCTGCATTGGATTTGGCAGAAGACAGCTTTGCGTTGATTTCTTCAGTGGAATCGAAAGCGATGGCAAAAACAATTTAGGTAACATTATAAACTACTAAACGTGAAAGTGCCTAGTAGAACCACAGCAACTCACAAATGCTGGTGCTCGTTCTGCAACGTCCCGTGTAATGGATAATGGATACGCAACTAACTTTAGCTTACATGCTTTCTGGTGTCTTTTCCAATGTTACATTTAATCAATCAATCAGCCAGTCAGGTGACATCTCCATAATGATTGTTGGCTGTAATGGATTTCCATCACCTTCTTTCTTTCACCTTGGATATATTCCGTCCCAGACAGCCATTGATCTATATTTTATGTTATCGCCGCACTTGTATCTCTGTCTGCCTTTTCCCCGCCTGCTTTCAGCGTTTCTCACCAGAATGATTGTGGGTGTTGTATCTTAAATTATGGCCAGATTATTGTAGTCTCTTTATTTCCTTCAGCAACTCTTATTTCATTCCTTGTATTTTCAGACCCTCTGTATAAAGTAAAGTAAAGATCCCTTTTCATGGCTTTAGGCGCATAGGGCATATGGTAATAGCACCCAGATTTTTACAGATTAATCGGCACTCTGTGGGTAATGTGGTCAGCATTACGCCGGCCACATATCTTCTTCCCTAGGACATACATCCTGGTACCCATTTTAGGCTGGGTCGACCTGCGACGACCGATACCATGATAAAAATCCATGCAGCCAGCAGTGGGTTTAAATCGCGGAACGTTGGAATTACGAGTCGCCTAGACCACGGACGCCGCATAGACCCTCTGTATTGGATTAATATTATTTCCATGAGATACAACAAGCTGTCCCGTATTCCCATCTGAAGATTATTACATTAAGTCCCCAATTTCCAGTTTTGCAGCAACATATTTCCCAAAATGGCAGAGATCTTTTAAATATCTCTGTTAATTTTTTTTAAGGTAATGAACCTTTCAGAAAGCGCAATTGGAAGCGAAATTGCATGCGCTAAAAGACTTAAAACTCATGCCAAGCACTCGGGTCAAGCAGCCTAAATGGGTAATGGGAAATTACTAGGGGAGTAAAAACGACCAGTATAATCTGTATCGAATTCATAGCAGTCTTACTAGTCTAAACTTACTTGGGAGGATCATTATATGACCAATACATCTACAATTATTCAAAGAAATCCTTTATTTTGTATTCCATTTTCAGGCCATGCTTATAAGACGTGTACATTGAATGCCACCTGGTACATGAACTCTAGATCAAATAAAGAGTGGACAGATTACACTGACTGCTTTAGTAAAGAGGTGATTATTTCTCTGTCTGTCGGTCTGTCTGTCTGTCTGTCTGTCGGTTTCTGCACTGTTTGTGTCTTCAAATATGTGCGCCACTCCATGTCTCCAGTCTGTGTAGCAGTCAGTTTATCAGTCTGTGCATATATATAAAGTATGAACGGTGCTGTCAAAAACAGGAGTATTCCTGACTTTCAGAGTACTGACCTCACCTGGCAGAAGACCGAGGAAAATAAGGGCAAGACCTTAATAGAACACTATTTACATTTGGACAGACTTGAGAGGGCGTAGTCCCAGATAATTGCAGAAGAAGACATAGTGACTGTTGATGAGATCAAGGCACTGCTACCATGAACAAAAAACAGTGCATCAGGTCTAGATGGTCTAAGGTATGATGACTTAGGAAGTTATACTAAAGAAGATCCGGAAGAACTAATGCTAGTGTCAACGAGGAGTGGGTACACAGCTATCTGATACTTCTGCCAAAGCCTGACAAAGACCAAACACAAATTCAGGGGTATCGGATAGTCACCATGCAGAATACAACAGGTAAGCTGTTGGAGAAGATAATTGATAAAACAATTTCGTGCCATCTAGAAAGGCAGTATACTTTCCATCTACCCTTGAAGGATGCCGTTTTTTTTTTTTTTAATACGTTGAAATCTGTGCAGCTGTTGGGCAATTATCGAAAATTACGCGCTTCCTAAATTAACAATTTAGGTGATTTACATGTTTCCTGTGCCGATCGATCGATCTTGGATCCGGTAATACCCTCTCAGTCCCCCTGGATGCTGCCCTAAAGTTTCCAATTATATCCTGAGATTTAAAAATCTTTTTCTTGACGACAGACCAACAGTGGCGATTCTGGAGACCCCGCAAAGCCTCTAAATAAATCATAATGGAGATAGGATTAACGGTTACACTAGCCAGGTGTAACTAATAGTCCTACGCTAGTAAGGACTTCTATGTCACACATCTGTGGTATTCAACGCTTATTCAAATCTATATTGTACGTTGTAAACGCATTGCCATTTGGTTGAACTGTTATATGGTTAAAATTAATTTCTGATAAGAAGATCTATTTATAGGGCCTCATCATGAGACCTAAGAAGGCCATGGGGCCTGGTGAGTTCTCCTTATCAGGTCTGCACTAATAATAACATAATATAACACAGTGTTAACCTTCCCCAGCATTTCTACAGACTGCATACGGCCGTGATTGCCTGCAGCGCGGTAACCATTGCTTTCCTGCTGCCCGCCTGTGTCATCTTTCTTTATTACAGGTAAGGGGAGTCTGCTTGATTGAAGTCATTCATTATGTCGACCTAGGCACCAGATAGTGATGGCTCAGGCCCCTCAACCCCCCACTTCCGTTAATTGTGCAAGGGGGTGGGTGGGGCGTGGGGAGGGGGGGGGGTGGCAACCTCTTTTAATCACGTATAAAAATTATTTTTACAAATATTTGTTTCTACATGTAAGATTATTTCAGATATGTTATTATAGTTGTTTGCCTTAAGAACAGTATACTTTATCTTAATCTTTTTAACTTGTATTACTGCTGTGCTCTTCAACTATGATAAGGTTCGCCCCTCCCCCTTTTTTTGCCTAGACAATTTGTAAGGCTGGGAGAGAGGTGGAATTTCAACAACAACAACAACAACAACAACAAAAAAAAGGGGGGGGGGGGGGGGGGAGAGGGGTTTTAGGGCACCTGTCCCATTTCTTGTTTTGTGTGTGTGTGTGTGTGTGTGTGTGTGTGTGTGTGTTGGTGTCCCTGACTTTCAACATTTCTAAATGGAACCAGAACGTCCTAGGTGCCTTTGTTAATTCTTAATCAAATGTAGAGTTGCCGTTATTTCTGAATTCTTTAGGTACCAGTAAATATTTTTCTGTTATTCCCTCGTAATAAAAAGTTTTTACAGGAAAACAAGAAGAGTGCACAGAAATAATTGTCTAGATGGCTTTGCCATATGGATGGGGTAAGCGAAGAACAATGAACTGATCCATGATTCTGGTGGTCGAGTAGAATGGCGAAACATGGCAGCCTACGCTTATCGGCATAGCACATGATGAGGATGACAAGGATGATGTTGATGATGATAATGATGATGATGATGGTGATAATGATAATGATGATAATTATGATGATAGGGAGATCTACTTTAAAACAATCAGTATGTTGGTCTAAAGATCGGAAGGAGCTAACCTTACAACTTGTGTGTGATGAGCGAACTGGCAGAGACTAATAAAATAGGCAATGAAATGGGAAAAAAAAGATTCACGAAAGATACAGGTCCAGGGGAAACTCTTAAGTCTAATGCTGTTTTCAAAGGCTTTGGATTGGAATGCATTCTTGATATGGAAAGAACTTCACGGGAAGAACGGAATGGGAGACTAGCCTGCGAGTGCCTTAAAATATTGAATCGACATCACAGCACTCGGGACACTTCCATAAGCCCCCGTATTCATCTGCGAACCCTGTACAACGTATAAAGACATAACAGGATAACTTCTTTTTCTTTTTCAACATTCTGAGCCCTTGAGCTTCATTGCTGAAGATATCACCCGCCTCCATTTATTTCTCTGGTTGGCCTTCTCTTTCTTGTTGTTAACACCAAGTGTTTGCAGGTCTGTTTGGATGTTATCTCTACATCGTCTTCTTGGACTCCCTCGTGGTCTACGACCATTCATCTCCTTGGTGTATACAGTTTTTACTTCTCTGTCATCAGACATTCTTTCAATATGCCCCAACCATTTCTGTCTATTAGCTGTTATGATGCCAGGTGGTATAACAGGATAAAGAATGAATTAAATATCGAAGTATGCAAAATAAAGATCCCCTTTCACGCCTTAGGGCGTAATGGGTATATGGGAAAAGCGCCCATATTTGTACAGACCATCGGCACTAGGTGGGTAATGTGGTCAGCATTACGCTGGCCGTCTTTTACCCTTAGGGCAGCCATCCTGGTACCCATTTAAGGCTGGGTCGAGCTGCGACGCCTCATACCATGATAAAAAACCACGCAGCCAGCAGCGGGTTTAGATCGCGTTATATTGGAATTACGAGTCGGACTCGTAACGCCTGAGCCACGGACGCCGCAAGTATCGTAGTATAGTACATATATAGTATAGTGTATGTTTTATATTGTGTTGTACGTAAATAGATCGTGTACTCTACTTGAACAGTATAAGGTAATGGACCGTACCTATTGTATTTTCAGGCCTCTGCGGCAACAACATAGAATCAGATTACATCTCTGCCTAATGGCTTCGTCTTTTCTAACATCAGTCTGCTCGTTACTATGGGAAATTCTCGTTTTCAAACAGAGTTTAGAGTCAAGCAAACGTATTCACGACAAAGCTTTTAACTCGGTAAGTGACATTCTTTACTATAAGTTTGAAAAAAAAAAAAGTAAAGGTTCCTTCCTACGCCAGTTGCCGGCCACGCGTTGCTGTGACCCAGAATGGTGAAATGGAGAGGAAAGAAAATAGCTCTCAGCTAACAGTGTCTGTCATACCCCCCCCCCCCCCCTCCTCTCCCCTCGACGCAGTCATGTTTCCCTCTCCGAAGGATTGAAAAATCATCCATGGCGAAATAATTAAAATAGAAATAGTTGAGAAATAAGAAATTAAAATAATATTTCAACTCTCTCAGCTAACTGTGTTTGGCATAACCCCCCCCCCCCCTTTTCCCCTCTTTCCACCAATCATTTTTCCCTCCCCGTAGGATAGAAAAATCCATCACTTGGCGAAATTATTACCATAGAAATAGTTAAGAAATGAGAACTTTAAAGTAATATTTTAAGCTCTCTCAGCTAACTGTTTCTGGCATACCCCCCCCCCTCCCCCTTTCCCCCAATCATATCCTCTTCTCTAAAGGATGGGAAAGTCACCGTGTAACGAAATATTGTAACTAAATTAAGCTTTGCATCCGTGTCCACCAAGACTTAAATATGTAGCATTAACTTGTACAGAGAAGTAAATGTAGCCAGTGTAACAGCTACCACATAACCCATCCAGTACCAGTACTACTGCTACGCCTACCACCACCACCATCACAACAACAACAACAACAACAAAAACTGTCCCTACAGTCTGTGTAGGACGGTGTAGAAAAGAGAAGTTAGCGCCGCATGCTGTCGCCACAGACTATTTAGTTCGATTTTGCCCCGGACGTTGGGGGAAAAAAAACTTTATCATGTAACCAGTGATGGAACCCACAGTGAAAAGTACACTATACTCACGAAAAGCGGAGAAAAATACCCCGTACCCGTCATCTCTCCCTCATCGAGGGGACGATTTTTAACTGACCTTGGATTCCGTGTCTACCTAAACTAAACTTGACTGTAAGCCGTCTCAGTTAACAGTTTCTGTCATCACCGAATAGTTTTTGAAGCGTCGTGGGGAGGCTAATTAGGACTTAACTGAAATCGGATGTCTTTGGGTAAAAGGCGCAGATATCGCAGCCTAGCTGTAAACCACAACACAGCGTGGCAACCACCCTTTTAGGGGGGAAAGAAAAATTATCACCCAGCAGGGAATCGAACACCGGTTACCCGAGTGAAGGATGGCATACTTACAACTTTACTACCGACGACTGAAGAGTTTAGGTCAGATATCGCAGTCTAGCTGTAAACCACAACACAACATGCCAACACCCATCTCGAGGCGAACGAAGATTACCCATGACATGACCATTGAGCATCACGTTGCAGCTGTCACAGGCTAGCTGTAAACTCCAAAACCGAAAAAGGCGTAGATATCGCAGGCTAGCCATAAACCACAACACAACGTGCTAGCCGCCAAGTTAAGGGCTGAAAAATTATATCACCTAGCGGGGAATCGAATGCGGGTCACCTGCATGATAGGCAGAATAACTACCAACTACGCTACTAAAACACTCAAGCAAATAGTGGAAATGAAATTAAATAATAATGCAAACTTCAATCAGAGCTCACCAGTCAATTATGGCCGATCACATAAAAACAAATCCGGGCTGGCAACGAAACAAATAATGATTTGACCGTTGCTGGAGCTACGTCGTTCGTGATTTGTGCGATTTTTTTCTACAAAAAATCACTCTTGGAGTCAAAGACAACGTTGTGTGCAAATTTGAAAGCAATCGATTCAGTAGTTTCCGAGTTTTTATCTAACAACATCGGAAAATTAACTTTTTTTAATAATATAGATATGACTGGCGATCCATTGTAAAGTAAAATGATTTACATCTGACATACAGAAATGAAAATTATCTTACGAAACCCGAGATTGTAAGATGTGACAGATCTTAAATTAAGACTGGTGTTTAAAAAAAACTGCATACGAGTCTTCGGTGAAATAACCTGGCACGAAATAACATACACTGAAGGTGAGCTTCACACGAGTCTTCGAGTGAAATAACCTAGCACCAAGCACCATATACTGAAGCTAATCACACATTGCTGATTCTTGGACAGTCCTGGTTTTGGAAGCTTTGTCCTGGTAACTAGAAATACCTTTTAATTTAAAAAAAAAATCCATAAAATGTTCCCAATATGGGCAGTGTAAGTGGTTGAATATTGTTCGAAATACGTGGTTCTAAGAAGAATAACACAAAACGTTGATTGAAGCAATCTTATGAGGTAAGTAATTAGAACAAAATATTCTCATTTATAGTTATGTTAATTATGCCAGCATTCTTGCGCTCCATATAGTGATTTATGAATTTTAAAATATGAATTGAAAAGAAATTTGTGTTGTCCGAACACCTTTCTTTGGGTGGCCGGGGGGGGGGGGGGGGGGGGGGGGGTTAGATGTGCATAATCTTTGTGTATAGTTGAGCTAAGATGTGTTTTGTCAATATTATCTTAAACATTAGAAAGACGAATGCAATATTTTCAAAAACATTATGAGGTAAACAAAAATTAAATTTATGAAAAATGAAGGAAAACGACTAGAGAAGCTTCTTATCAACCAACCCTTTGTCTATGCATGGAACGATGTCAAGTTGTGTAATGCTGCCCGCAGTCGAAGATCACAAGATGCGGAGAAACTTGATTGACCTTGCAAGTTGGGCAATCTATTTCCGATGATAACAGTAATGCATGGATGTTCTTGATTTGTATGTTAGGTCTTGTCTTTCTCATAAGATCTTCTCAAATATTGCGTATCATTTCCACCATCAAAGTTTGAATGGGGGAAATTTAAATAATCTTCTTCATCTTCAGCATTCCAAGCCTTTGAGGTTCATTGTTGCAGATATCACCCGCCTCCATTCATCTCCCTGGTTGGCCTTCTCTTTCCAGTTGGTGACACCAAGTGTTTGCAAATCTGTCTGTCCGTGTTCTCCTTGGTCTGCCTCATGGTCTACGACCATTTATCTCCCTTGTGTATACAGTTTTTACTTCTCTGTCTTATGACATTCTTTCATTATGCCCAATCTGTTTAGTCTATTACCTGCCATGATGCCAGTCATCGGTGGGGATTGAAACAGATTACGAATTTTGTTATTGCTTCTCATTCACCGCTGTTTGCATCTTTGATGGGTTCAAAGATTCGTCGAAAGACTCTGTTTTCGAAAATCTGTAATAAATCTTAAGTTCTTCTAGTTGTGATCCAAGTTTTAGTGCCATATAAAACGACTGGTCTTAACGTTTTATATATTTTGATCTTGATGTAGCGAGACAGACACTTTGACTTTAGCAGATGTTCAAGGGCATAGTATACATTATTTCCAGATTTTATTCTAGATAGTATTTCTTCTTAGCATGTTGGAGCAGTTAAAGTTTGCACCCAAGTACTTGTTTTAGTTCGTTTAATTTAAAAAATGCGGACACACACAAAATGCATTGCACAATTTATTGCTTGGCATATTTCGCTGTATCTCATCAGATGGAGTTAAAAAATCTACATAAAATTAAGCATCAAATAAATCTTCTTCTTGATGAAATGCATAAACTACATTGTCGAGTTGCTGTACATCTGTTTGTCCGAAATTCAGAATCAGTCACGTAATTACCATGGTAACTTCAAACTGATCACTTGATCTTTCTGTTAACATAGAAGAGTTGAGTTAGATTGATACAGCATCGACTACGTTAAGCAAACGTCTGTTCAGTGTGTGGTAAACAATCTTGATAAGTTTGGGGAAATTGTTGGTAGGCACATGCAAATATTTTTTTTAACTATGTAGAATAATTGACTAATAATTGTTTGTTTTGTTTAAACTAGATTGGTTGCCGTTTGCTGATTCTGTTCATACGATACGCTGAACAAGCCTCCTTCATGTGGATGTTCATGGAAGGATTTCATCTACATCGTCTGCTTGTTCGTGCTTTTTCAGTACCCAAGACACTGTTCCCATACTACATTTTCGGTTTTGGTAATGTTAACACTTTGTACTGTTAAAAAAATCGAAGTCACTATTTAAATACTAATCTTTAATTTTGTGTAATGTTAACTGACCTTTTATTTAAATCTGAATCACTGGTTCCAACCTATGTTTCTGAGTTTGGTAAGTAAAGAAAAGAAAACACGTTTCAAACGAGAGACTCATCATCCTATATTTTCTAAAGACCAGTCGACATTCAACGGACCAAGTGGTCAGCACCGTGTAGGTCGCCTTTACTTCCTACACTAACTCATTTTTATTTTGGGCTGCAGCACCTAGGAGCTGAAGTCATTTAAAATGATTGTAAACGGGGCGGATTTGAACACAGGACATTGGTTCTGGTAACGTTACCAAACATTTCCGGACTGTTTAGTATGGAAGCTACTCTTTCACTTCAGAGTTTCATTTAATTTGGATAAGTTAACAACCATGGTCATTTGTCAGTGTAGTAACCTGTTTAAACGGGGGTTAAGATTTAATACTCAGAATTAACCGAGTGGTTTTTCGTCTCCTTGGTTAATCTAACCTTTTGGAAATGGTTGACAGACAATTCCCATAATTTTCACGCAACTCCCTGGGAAGACAAAGCGACCTAAAAGGAACCGTACACCCCCCTCCCCATCAATTGTCATGGCCTAGTATATGTGAAGGTCTAACGCTTCATGTCTCAATGGGAGTACTTGCTACTGGACAGCTTTTACCGTTGAAGTAACACTTTGTGCTTCGACCTACTAAAGCAATGTTTCCTGTCGATTTTCTCTCTCTCTCTCTCTCTCTCTCTCTCTCTCTCTCTCTCTCTCTCTCTCTCTCTCTCTGTCTCTCTCTCTCTGTTTTCTCTCTCTCTTTTTCTCTCTCTCTCTTTGTTTTTTCTCTCTCTCTCTCTCTCTCTCTCTCTCTCTCTTTCTTTGTTTTCTCTCTCTTTCTCTCTCAATCAAATAGTTATCGAGGCCCCGTTGTAGGAAAAACAAGAATAGACCCACTGCCGGCCCAAAAGCATGTAACAGTCTGCATGCAAAGGATTTAGACATGTAAAACGTATGTGCATGCAACACTGGGGACAGGACTAGAGTCAAGAAGTGAACGAACAACCAGAATTGACGGCAAAGAAGAAGAAGAAGATTTTGTTATCAAAGAAATGTGTATTTGCTCTATTTATTACGTGCAGAAGCATGAGCACAGTTTTCAAACTATTGTGTTTTAAATGGTTACTCCAGATTCTACATCGTTTCACACATATTCAGCCGGGTTTGTCATTGTTTTAAATGTATGCGCAAATTATCACTTCACTCACTGTTGATGTTTATTTAACTATACGATTTCGTCACTTGTGATTTGGATACAAGTTATGTTTAGGGCTTGAATATTTTCAAATGACTCATCACTTATGGTGTTAACGCGATTCAAGTTTAGAACTGGTAATTCTACACGTTTATAATTTGTTGTTTGGACATGTGCCCTATTTGAAACTGACCTGGATATCGATGCAAGATTTATAATTTTATAGTTTAGACTGAAAGGTACTTTGGAATTGAGTGGGTAAACATACACCATTTACCATTTGTGATTTAGACACAGACTGCATCTAACAGCAGTATTTGTTAATCATCATATAGCAGGTCCTTTGCAAACCCTGGCTGTCATCACGGTCTGTCTAAAAGAAACTCAGCCTCTCGCCAGCTCTCCCTCCTTGTGTACTTTCATATTCAAAGAGTGCCTTACATCCTGTGCCCATCTTCGTATTGGTCGACTCCTGCACCACCTTCCTCGTACCATGCCTTCTGCTATTAATTTTTCCAATCTGCCATAGCGCTTGATATGACCAAAATATTTCAGCTTTCGAAACAAAATGCTGTTTATTAGCCATTCTTCCTTGATGTCCACTCTTTAAAAAATGCCAGTCTTTCTTCTCTTCTTTGGCGATGGTATTCTGAGAATATTTCTATAGCATTTCAACTCAAAAGCCTTATTTTCTTTCTTACGGACTGGGAGATAGTCCACGACTCACATTCGTATGCTGCTACAAGGTCCACGACTCACATTCGTCACATTCGTATGCTGCTACAAGGTCCACGACTCACATTCGTAAGCTGCTACAAGGTCCACGACTCACATTCGTCACATTCGTATGCTGCTACAAGGTCCACGACTCACATTCGTCACATTCGTATGCTGCTACAAGCTCCACGACTCACATTCGTCACATTCGTATGCTGCTATAAGGTCCACGACTCACATTCGTCACATTCGTATGCTGCTACAAGGTCCACGACTCACATTCGTAAGCTGCTACAAGGTCCACGACTCACATTCGTCACATTCGTATGCTGCTACAAGGTCCACGACTCACATTCGTCACATTCGTATGCTGCTACAAGGTCCACGACTCACATTCGTCACATTCGTATGCTGCTACAAGGTCCACGACTCACATTCGTCACATTCGTATGCTGCTACAAGGTCCACGACTCACATTCGTCACATTCGTATGCTGCTACAATGTCCACGACTCACATTCGTCACATTCGTATGCTGCTACAAGGTCCACGACTCACATTCGTCACATTCGTATGCTGCTACAAGGTCCACGACTCACATTCGTCACATTCGTATGCTGCTACACGAAAGATTTTGATTTCCTTGATGGTGCTCAACCATAGAATTGTAATTCCCCCGTGTGGGTTCCGGGGCCCCATTGTCGGGAAAACAAGACTAGACCCACTGCCTCCCCAAAAGCATGTCGTAAGAGTCGACTAATTGGGGAACTTCCTTTGAAGTCAGAGTGCATCTGCCGGAGAGGCAAGGAACCAACAGTCTGTATTCAAAATAATGAGATCTGTAAAACTGATGCACATGCAACACTTAGGTTCTGGAACAGGACTGCAGTTTAGTAGTGGATGAGCAACCAGAACTTTCCGCCAGAGTATACAGCTGGTGACGCGAAGAAGAAGAAGAAGAAGAATTGTAATTATGTTAAATAGTATTTGTATATATCCACCATTTATCACTTGTAGTTTTGACAAAGTCACGTCTTGACTTGTATTTTTATACACGTAACATTTATTAACGTTGGCCTCCCGGTCCAAAGTTCAGAGGTTGGATTATTTTTCTTTGAAAATTGTTCTTGGCTTCTAGGTCAGTCCAACCTATACTAATAAAGGTTAGTTGCGTATCCTTTACAGGACGTTGCAGAACCAAACCCAACAGTCCCTGGCTGTTGTGCGGTTTTTCTAGGCAAATTTACGTCCAGTAGTTTGCCATAGCTTTCTGGACGGTCAGCTTTCTTAATACCACTGTCGAAACCAACGCAAGGCGCATGGCCCGCAGCTGGGATCGAACCCGGCATTCCGGCATTACGAAACGTTCACATCGACTTAACCACAGAGCCGACCCAACCTACACTAGGGACCAGGAAATTTGTTGACAATTAAAGGCGTCCGGTGTGATGTTATATTGACCACATCCCCCATTGAATGTAGAATGCTTTATGAAAATGGGAGTCTAACATCAAATGCCCTATGTACCATTGGCATAGACAGGGTCGTTGACTAAATTACCACCGTTTATCAGTTGCAATGTTTTCCCGTGTTGCCATTAACTCTTTCATTCTCATGCAGCTGTTTTAATGATCGTAGGTAGGTAGGTGCTTTGCTGGAGATCAATATACAAAAATCGTCATGTTCAACTAGCATTTCGTAATGGGGTGCTGTAGGTTACAATTGTGACCTAGTTATGTGCGCCATATAAAATCGCTTAGCATTGCACGCCACCAAGAGCCATGAAAAGGACTCTTCACTGTTAAAAGAGATAGATCCAAATACTGTCTCGACCGACGACGAAGTCGTCCATCTGCTCCGATAATTATTTAGGTTACCTTATACCCATAAAAGCTGTTCCTCAGTCCGTAGGTTCCTTACAGATGGTCATTGTGTGCACGGCACGCATGAAAGCCTCTCATTCTCTAGCCAATTCTCCAGCCCTATGTGCTTTCATAGCCGATGTCACTTCAGTGTCTAGTATTTTTTTCGCGGTCGTTGACCTCTGTCTCGTTTTCGCAAACTGAACCCCCCATTGCAGTTCTCTGCAGGCCATAATGGCGCCTAATATGGTCCAAAAATAACCTAGCTTTCTAAGTATAAAAACGTAAGAATTTAAAAAAAAAATTGAAATACAACTGTCTGGGATTTAACAAATTAACATTGATACATAAATTTGTGTTAAATTGTGCCGTCTTGACACTTGAAGTTCTCCGCTGCTTATCCTTTTCCGTCACTGATAATTATCTTGGAAAGCCTTCAGTTTTTTTCCAAGGTGTGACGCTCTTACCTGTCTGGAAACAACAACAATTTTTTTAAGAATAAACCGGCCACCACTGAAATATAACTCTAGTACTCAAAGCAATGTTTCCCCGTTGTGAATTTGAACACTAAAGACAAACAATAGATTGCACACTTTATTGCCTGGCATATATTCGCGGTATCTCGTTAGGTGCATACTACAGTAACAGTTGAAAAAAAATAAAGCAAGTAAATGATTTCTTCGAACTGAAATACAAAATTGTCTACATTCAAAACTGTCTATTTCACTAGGGTAAGCACAAGATGAAGAGCAAGTCCTTTTGTCTGCATATTTCTGGACTAAACAGGTTTATCGCGGTCGCTTCTAAAAATCACGAAAATCTACTTAATAATCTACATTTGCTTGCTTCATTTTAAGCGATCTAACGTTTTGTGTCTTTTTTGTTATAACACCGAAACTTGATCACTAACCTTCAAGCCATAAATCTATTTTGATATATTCATTGCGGACAAATAATTTACATGCCATGAAGCTTAATTTAACATGTTTTTTTTTTCTTCTTAAAAATACTCAAATAAATGGAGTTCATTCCTCCACAAACACTTGCTATCTAACAGTCACTGGTTCATATTTTCCATTTCCGTACCGCAGACAAGATCTTCCCTTGGGAAATTTAAATAGTCAGATCGTTGAGC